GTAGTTTAAGAGTAGTTAAAAAATAAATTGGGACCTTCGTATTCTTTTTCTCAATTTAGTTGTTGAGAATATTCTAGTTGTCTAAAGGATTATCATACCTTGCTCAACAAAAAACATCTTTGCAGAAGTGTCACTGACACACGGTGTTAAGTTGACTAAAATTTCTGCAGTGTGCTTTTTCCCTTGGTAGTAAAAGCGTATCCATATCAGCCAGTTTATAAATAGCAATTAATAGCTCGTGAACTGGTGGTGCATTTGCAGGAGTATTTCTGTGACTTTCTCTGTTCATTTCAAGACAAGCAGTTAATCAAAAAGTCATGGAGAAACTTCAGTAAAAAATAAGGCTCCAGGTGTTGAGTTGATCTCTTGGACTGTCTTTCAAAGATGATTCTTCATCTAAGCTTTAAAGATTGTGAGCTATACCAAGAGTAGTCAGGGCAAGAGGAAGCTTTCTATCACACTGCACGTCCAGTAGAAGGTATCCTTTCATTGCATTTCAGCACTAAAGTTGCCCAATATGCTGGGATCTATTTAGACTCTTTAATGGAGCTGTTTGCCTTTTTTAATGCCTTTCTCCCATCTGCTTTACTTTCATGTGCCTGGGATTAGCATAAAGAATCAGACAGGCTGCAAACTTGACAAATGTGTTATGCCTTGATTTTGAACTGCTGTGACAATCTGGGTTTGGAATATGTTGTTAAAGCCATTGGGCTCTGTCCCGAGTTGCCCACCTGCTTATCCACCACTAGGCAGGCAGGATCTGGAGTAGATGGTACACAGCATGTCTAACTCTAGGTGGGGGAGGTTCTCTTTGATATAATCCAGCCATTACACCGTGGATACAGAGTTATAACACACACACACATGGATGAGACAAGACTTTCATTTTCCATTTTTTACCTCTCAACAGTAACTGAAAAAATGGTAAGAAATTCTACAATAGTTTTTCCTTTTTGTGTCTTCCTCTTCCCTTCCACCCTGACTCATTTTCACAGCTTAGAAATTTTACAAATAGCTCACACACTTGCAAGGGCTGGGGGAGTAGGGAAGGTCCTGCCAAAAAACATTTTGCAGCTGGAGAGGGAGGGTGAGATGGCATTTGTTTACATCCTTCTGTTGAGAAGTAAAAACATTTTCCAAGCTTTGAAACAGTTGGAAGAGGGAACCCATCAGCCTTTCTATAATTCAGTGTTGCTGGTTTCAGAATTTTTTTGGTTTTCTATTCAGGCACAGTATATCCGGGAACACTTGCTGGATCTTGTTGGGGAGAGGGTCAGGCACTGCAGATAAAAATGCACTACTTTCTGTGCAGACTCCACAATTATTCCTAGTCTTCCTCAAATGCACATACTTTGATAACCTGGGCTGGGGGAACCACAGGAGCTCTGCTCAGCAAAGTTGGTCTCTGTCGGTCGCCTTGCAGGGGAATGCAGCTGCCTGGCAGGAGCTGTTTGTCTCCCAGGAACACACGGGCTCCTCTCTCCTCTCTAGGGGTTGGGCAGAAGGTAGGGGGGAAGGGGACCCTGCTGCCTGGGACTCAGCCTTACCTGGACATGTGCTCCCGCTGGGGTCTGTGTGCCTTCTCCAGCCCTAGCTTGGTGAAGATCCCCACCAGCACCATGACTGCTACAACCCCACAGATGATGTAGACAATGAGGTTGGTTTTATCCCTGGTAGGGTCATGCAGAGGGTCGTCTATGCGGGAAGGAGGCTTCCCAGTGTTCATCCACAATGGTGTCTCATAGTTCGTGCAGGTGCTTTGATCCAGCCTTGTCTTCTTGAACTTGCAGCAAAACCTGAAGCCACAAGTGCCACAGCAGAAGATGAACTCCCCCGAGCTGCAGTTAAAGGGGGGGTCCCACTGCCCCATCACGTCAAAGTAGCCCCTGCAGAAGTCTGGGGTGGGAGGTGGCTCGGAGGGGTCCAGCTGTTCCCCGAGGCTGGAGTGGTTTCCTCCTGAGAGCACCACAAAGCTCCCCAGCTGCTGGCCAGCTTTCTCCTGAGCCCGACACACCAGCGTGAGAAGGTCCGCCACCAAGTAGCCGAAGAGCAGCCGAATAAAGCCTTCCATTCTGCCTCCCAGCCCCGGCTCAGCGATGCTGCTGCCGCCGCCGCCGCCGCTCGAGCTGCTGGATGCTGCGCTGCGCCAGGAGCTGAACATAAAGGGGCTCCGTCAGGGGCCGGGCGGCCGCTCAGCCCGCGCTCGCCTCCAGCACCACGGACAGCCCCGGACGGGCCGGGCAGGGTCCGCCGCCCCCGCGCAGGGTCCGCAGCCCGTCCCCGCTGCGCTCCCGGGGAGCGACCGCGCGGCACTTGTGGAGCGGAGCGCGCGTGAGAGGGAGCGCGGGAGGAGGAGGAGAAGGAGGAGGAGGAGGAGGAGGAGGAGGAGGAGGAGGACCGAGGGGTGGAGGTGGCGGCGGCGTGCGGGGCACCGCGCCGGGCTGGCGAGAGGGGCGTGGAGGGGCCGCCAGCGGGAGGGCTGAGGCGAGGGCGCTGCAGGGGCGGGGAGATGGCGAGAGGGCGAGCGAGGAGCCTCCCCGCGCTGCCTGGAGCACCCACCGCCCGCTCCGCCGCGCAGCCCGGCGCGGTCCCTCGCACAACTCCCTCAGAGAGCCGCCGAGCCCCGCCCGGGGCCGGGCTGCCAGGGCAGGGCGCGGGGGGCTGGACGGGCTCGCCGCGGCATCCAGCCGGCGGGAACGAAAGGGAGATGCGCCGTGAGGGAGAGCGCGGTGCAGCCCGGCGAACCCAGTCCGCTGCGCGCCCGCCCGTCCCCCTGCCGGGCTCCTCTCTCTCCTTCCTTCCTTCCCTCCCTCTCTCCCAGCCCCGCTGTGGGGCTTTCCCCCCGCCGCAGAGCCGACCCCCGCCGCGGCCCCGCTCCCCGCCATCCCTTACATAAGACACTTCCCGCTCCCCACAGGTGCGTCTCCCACAGCGCGGGAGCGCCTCCTCGTCCCGTCCCTCCGCCCGCCCCGCGCTCAGGGGGTCAGGGCAGCCCGGGCAGGGCGGGGTGGGCTCCTCGGGCGAGCCCGGGGCAGCTCCGCGGGAGGAGAGCGGCGCGTCCCTCTCCCGATGAGTAGAGCGCTCCTTCCCCCGGTAACTCCTCTCCGAGCGGTCCCCGGAGATCCACTCACCTGCGAGGCAAAGGCAGGTGGTGCGGGCGGAGCAGCGTCCATGGGGCCGCACCTCCGCTACGCCCGGGCGTGAGCGGGCTCTGCCCTCGCCCCGGCGCGCCCAGCACAGGTACGGCGGTGCTCGCACTGCCTGCAGCCGCGCGGGGCTTTGGCTGCTAAACATGAGCTGCCCCTGCACATCATTTATTTAAAAATCTCTCTATAATGTCAGTCAGATGGCTCCGGAGGACGCAGCAAAGCTGCGGGTTGTTTGCGAGACACAGAATTGGAATAACTTCCCCCAAACAGAGAACGGACTCTGGGAAAGACTTTTTAGTGATTCACTCTCCATCCCTGTTATTTAACTCTGTCATCTCTGCCTTTTGGTTTGGCACTAACCTGTGCAAGTAGCAATAATATTATCCTGAATACTATGCTGCCACCAAATGTAGGAAATAAGCCCATTATGGCGTGATTTAACAGTGTGGGCTGGTGCTGGAAGCAGCTTCCCTTCTCCTCGGGGCATGTCTGTGGCTGCCTTGCTGCGGCCTTGCGGGCTGCTGTGCTCCCCGGGGAAGGGGCTGGTGTGCTGGGGCTCTGCAATGCCAGCCCGCCCTCCCTCTCCCACTGTATCGCTGGCGCTCTTCAGGAACTTCGGCCAAGTCCGCGTGGAGTTGTTAGGCGGTAAATGAACAGAAAGGTGAGGCAGAGGACAAAGCAGACGTTTGGAATCGGAGAGGGCTGTAGTTAGCTAATTGCGATCCTTTGCCTCCTCTTAAAAATAGACTCTAAGTACAGTGATGATTCCAGTGAACAGTTTGACAGTAAGCCTTGCATCTTTGTCCAGGAGGTAGGTTAGAAAGCCCCTTTATTTCTTAGCAGAGAAAAACAATCAGCCCCAGCCAAAACCAGCCTTTCTGGCTTTTAATATTTAATTCTTAAAACCTCCACCTCATCAACATCCCCTTTCAAGTCTCCTCTGAAATCATATCATTCCTCCCTCGTGTATACTTCTCTCTGCTATTATTTATTATTTAACACTTTGTGATGCAGTTAGTGCTGAAAATACTGCAAAAAATGAATCTTTTCCATACTTATTATTGCATCTAGAGACATTTCAGGTCCAGTCCTGTCAGGCGCTTAAGATTATGCAAGTTCCCCTGTTGATTTGATGGCTAAAAAGCTGCTTAAATATTTTGCATGATTAGTACTATACATGTGTGGAAATAATAACATCAAAAACCGATTTATTTTATGGGTGATTAATCCTGACTAAATATGGTACAAGTTTCTTGTTTCGCTAAGTTCCTGGGGCTTTCCTTAAGAATCCCCATATAAAAAAGAAGCCCAAAGGATTTAGGCTAGAACCTAACATCTGTGGGATTCAGGTCCATGAGATCAGAATTCGACCCTAAGTGACATGTGCTTGGGAAAATCATGAGGGTGATTAAAGCTCCTTGGAAAAAAATATTTGCTATGGCACCAAGAGACTTTGGATCAGACCTGTGGAACCCAAAAATCATGCTATCCCTAATAATATGTTATTTTAGTTGTTGAGCTCTCTGAGCCTGCTAGTTGTATTAGCAGTGAAGTTATTTTTAGCTGTACCATGTCTTAAAATTCTAATAATGAACTGGAGTTGTTCTAGACCGGGGCACAAACCCTTTTTACCAGACCTGCAGTTTTGTGTTTTAATGGCTTCATAGCGTGTAGTTGTAAGAACACCTGCTTGATCAAAATATAAACCCATTAATTATAATAATGGAAACAAGAAAACTAGTTGAGAGAAATGTGTATTACACACAGTACTGAGACATATCTTGGGTTATTGCGTGATGTTATAAAGTTTTTCTCCATTAAGTCAGTCAATAAATGTCTCATTTATTTTAGTTGTGTCTAACAAGTTGAGAAACACAAAAGATTTCCCAGTTTAGCACCATCATCATCACTTTCAAGACTTCAAGAATTTCAAGACCTCTCTCTTTGACATTGCTTTAAGGTAAGTAATAATTACCTACTTTTCTACAGATTTATCCCATAAGGAATGTATTTTGCCTCTGAAACAACTGAGAGGGTGAATGTTTCAACTAGAACCTGCAGAGCTGTCTTTACTCAAGTGCACATCCATTTAATTAAGTGAAAATATTTTAGGCACCAACCTTATACAAAATTCTTATTATCTTTTTCCTCTAATTTCTTTGACTTGTTTTCACCAAGACAATATGAATCAATGGCAATGCTTGTTGTTCAACTTTAAGATAGAAAACAGGCACTTTTTTCTGGCAAATTCTGTAGCAATGTGTACTCATGTCACATGGAAGTTACATAAATGCATATAGACTCATACTCTATATATTGAATTCTGTGTGGAATTGTACATAGTCTTAGAACTGATTCTTGCAGGGGTGTTTTTCTGTAAATAAGAGAGTTTGAAAAGGAGTGAAATTAGGAGAAAAAGTTAATGAGTTAACCTGAACGTTGAGGCGGTGACAAATCTGAAGAGTATAGAACAATTAGAATATACAGAGCAATTACAATTATTATGTTCCAAATTCTATATTTAATTTTAATTCTTTTTTTTTTAATAATAACAATGTTGATAACCTTTGAGTATTTCCCTTGGACTAACTACCTGCTAGAGAAAGTAGTCCTTTGCTGAGCACTGATTCAATGGAGCTTTCTAGCCAACCATTAATTCCCAAGAAATGCCATATAGCTCAATCATTATTATTAACAGACATTCCAGAGCTGTGAGAATCTGTCAAAAAAAGCAGCCAGACAGGCCTGATCTCAGACAGTATTGATGTGAAAGGTATTTTGTGATAAGAAATGTCATGTGGAAACTAGAATGAAGCAGTCAATGTCTGCTTCCTTGGTAGTATTTTCCTACTGAAGTGGCATATCTGGATGTATAGATACAAAATATTGCCAGTGGAAAACAAAAGAGGGGATGATTGTACCTCAGCAGACCGACTGGCAGCAGGGCTGCAATCACTAGTTTGTAAAAGTACAGATAAATGTTAGAAGGTATCTGCTGTTCGAGAATAAAAGGTATCTTAGCAAACATGAGTTAAAGAAGCAAAATGTGTTTTAACAAGGAGGCTACAAACAACTTTATGTTTATAAATACAGTCCCATGATTTACAAATATTGTAAACAGCCCCAAATGACACAGCACAGAAGTTTGCTTTGGACAACTCTACATTCTTCAACTAGCATACACCAGACAGCCCCATTTGCTTCTCCCAAGTTCTGACATTGCTCAGTGAGGAGTATTCTCTCCCACTGGTATTAGTCTTGCTGAATGGTCAAAATGCATTGTTTTAGGCCTTTCTTTTAGTTACACAGAGAATGCTTCATAAGCCTTTGCTCCTTTAGCCAGTAACTGCAATCATTAATATCATATCAGAGCAGCAACGTGCGAAATCCCAACCTGCACTGTGTTGACACTAAATATACTTCTCCTCTTATAATTGGTGAGCACACGTCTTTTAAACTAACCTTTCCCTTTTCATTAAAAAAGATGCATATTCTGGCTAGGACAGAAGGAGCTTGATCTTATATATTTATTAATCCACAGAAATTTTAACAGGAACATCTCACAGACGTTGAGCATTTTTTAGTTATTGTCATTCAGTCTGAAAAAATATACATTGCATGTAGCAAAGGGATCACCATCAAGAGATCTTAATGAGCCAGGAGGTACTGCATGAATAAAAAACCATGAGAAACTTCTTTTTTATGGCTCACTGAGGAGGAATATAATTTATTGCAATTCTATAATGTAGAAATTACCTTTATAACCTAATATTTTTCTCTTCAGTCTTCTTGTGAAACCAAAACTGTAGTAATTACATGGCTTGAGTTTGAGGCAGGCAGTGACAACATCTGGATTTGGAGTTGACTTCATGAAATGCTGAGAGTTCTTTTAGCTTCAGTTTAATTCAAAGGAATTTCAGAAAAATTCAGATAAATTTAGAAGGTAAATGGAGTATTTGCAAATATACAAGAGGGAATACATGTATACTGCAAATATCTTCAGTATACAGCAGTGGAAAAAAGTGCCAACCTGTCTAAAGCAGCTTCCAGCAGTACAGCTGAAAAATGAGTTGTGCCCTCGGGTTCACCTGTTGCACAGCTCTTGCTTTGATTCGGAACAAGGAGAGCTGCCAGTCAGGTTCTCTCTTTGGCAAAACTGATGTTACTTTTGAATTGTAACAGTATTGCAAGCACCTGTGAACAAGGTACGTTTCTGCTTGTTATAAATTAGACTGTCATGGAATTTAGATCTGGAGTGATTGGCCAGGTGTCTGAGGATTACTGCAGCTGACAGAGAAGGCTCTGCAGCTCATTCCAAAATCGTGCCAACAAAATCTTTGTCTTGTTAACAAAAAGAGGGGAAAAAGAGGCTACAAAGGATCAAAAAAATTGGAAGTGCTTTTGTATCCTTCCAACTGAAAACCAAACCACCTTTGTTCCCATGAGTTCAACTTTTCAAAGCAGAAAGTAAGTCTTTCTAAGCAGGCCTAAAATAGCATTAAAAATTGTCAAGGTTAAAGGGAGTATAATAGGCTGTATATTGTATCTGAGCATAGAGAAGCTGTGCTTAGACACAGAAGAGGACACATAGCAGAGAAAATTTTCTGATCCTCTGCTGTCTGACTCTGGCATATGTTAGAACAACTGAGGAGCTCATCTAACCAATACCTCTTCTAAAACTGCTCAGTAACTGAGATAAAGAGGTAAACAAGTTTAGTCTAGAATGTGCATTCCTCAGGCCTGGAACATCCTTGGATGGAAGAGACAACAAGAAGTCAAATTAATGAGTCAGGTAAAGTCTGCCAGTTTTAGCACTAATAACCCTCAAGGGCTATAGAAGTGAGCTGTAAACCTCAGAAGGGAAGAATTTGCTCTTCACAGAAATGTGAAGTTGCTGTACTACTTAACTAACAAAATATTTTAGCCACCATATATTTTGCATGTCTTCCAAAATGTACTTTCAAGCAACCAAAATCAAAAGTTCTTACTGAAAATTAGACCTTTTCAGTGTGCTTCCCTGATAATAAGCTTTAATGATGTCTCTCTGCATCATTGTCACAACATGCCCATCCAAAGCTTGATTTATTTTTAGTCTTACATATAGTACTAATATATAGATGTAGGAACTTTCAGATTTATGAATAAGAAAATTTCTCTGACAGTTCCATTTTTGAAGGATGCTAACTGTTAGAAGATGCTCAGGATTTTAAAATGGTAAGTCACAAGACAGATTAAATAAGAGGTACAAAGTGATAACGGTCTGAGTTCTGTGATTCCTCTTTAATTCTGTGACACTGCTATCACTGTCAGGTGATGCTGTCACCAGTTTTCAGGTGGCTATCAGATTCACTTATGTTATTACAATGCCTGGACAAGAGTGTCAAATGTGGTTGCCAAAGGTTAAACATCCACAGACCAACTCACTATGTATTAAATTCAACAACAGTCTTTACACTGATTTAAAATGGAAACTGCACTGAGTGATTTTGCTCAAGAGATGCTGAATAATCACAGCTTACACGAAATCACCAGATGTCTGAGTGGTCAGTACTTCTGGAAACCAGGTCACATATTTGAAAGCCCAATAATGAATTCAGAAACTAAATTTAGGCACATATGTTGGAAAACTGTTGATGTGCACAAATACCAACCCAGGTTCCAGACCACGCTTTTAGGCAGATGGCAGCGACTGTCCCTTCCTGACTCCACTTGACAGCCAAATGTAAAGAGCAGTACTAAGCTGGCTCCAGAGGGATTTGCTTCTCTGTCCCTTAGCATGAGAGCCACTGAGAAGAAACAATCTATCAACCAGGTATCCTGACAGATGGTTAAAAACCCATGAAGATTCCAAGGTGGAAGAGTAACTGCCGTTCCTTACGTTTTCTTTCTAGAGAGCATTCTGATTATGATAACAGCATTCATCACTGATATTTCTCAGCACAGTGCAACTCTTTTATACCCACAGAATTGGAATATCTATCTAGAACATCTCTCTAGCTATTCTGTTATACCCTCTGAATGAAAAGGCATCAATCTAGTTTCCCTGCTCTTTGCATCAAGTCAATACTAAACTGAAAAGTTAATGCTTAGAGTAAATAATGTGTAGTAGCATATTTTTGATTTTTTTTTGTGGTTTTATAACACATATGTGCCTAGAGGTTTTTTATTATTGTGAAAGTGCAGTGATCCCACAGCTGGGTAAATAATAGGACAAATAAAAGGATTGTAACTGTAATGTGAAATGCACATTAGGGAGTCTTAAGAAGTGGTGCAAAAAGATGCTGACAGCAGATTCCAGTGGTATCTTTTTGTTGTACTGTTTACTAAAGCCAGCAGATTATATCTAATCTGCTAAATATAATCTAATGCTAATAACATATTTAGGATATCTGCTCCCTAACACAGATATAGGAGATTATTACAGAGTACAATAAGGTAAAACACATTTTTTGATACAAAACACAGGCATCAGAGAGTACAGTTTTCATAATGGATTATTTAATCTGTAATTTAAATAGTCAAGTTACTTTGGAGTAAAATGTAAAGAAGCTGCAAAAGGAATACTTCTGTGTAATATGGAAATTGTGTATATATATATATAAAACAATTATATTTATTATACATGTATACTTCTATATTTATATCTACTTATATATTTATATACACATACCTATTTTTATATATACTTACTCTTATATATATACATACATATATAGGGCCGGTTGTAACAGAATACTTGGTAAAAGGACAACTCAAAATTTTCTTGGATGTGTGGGAATTAGTCTGTCACTCACTCCCACACACCTGACAGAAAGCTGGCCTCTTTAAAGTCAATTTTGTAATTTCTATACACCTTGAACTCTTAAATAGGATTTTCCAGTTTAACAATTTCTCCCTCTGAATATAGTGATTGATCTTCTTTAAAAAGAAAAAATAAGAAAATTTAAAGGAAATTGCATC